GGCAGGAGGGGGTTTCAAAGTAAAGGTTTCAGACCGTGGCAGCGACCTAACTAAAATGTAAGGGAGAGCAACCGAGTAAGCATAACTACAAAACTCCTTTTGGCCAATAACTACGGTTTCAAACGTGCCTAGGATAAGAAAAARAAGAGGAGGRGGAGGAGGAAGAAAGAAATAATAAGAGGAAGAGGAGAGGAGGAGAGCAGAAGAGGAGGAGGAGAAAAGAAGAAGGAGAAGAAGAAGAAGAAGAAGAAGAAGAGAGCAGAAGAAGAGGAGGAGGAGGAAGAGAAGAGGAGAAGGAGAGCAGGAGGAGGAGAAGAAGATTAGATGAGGAAGAAGAGGAGAGGGGGAGGCGGAGGAGAAGAGGAGAAGAGCAGAGGAGGAGGAGCAGAAGAAGAAGACGAGAAGGAGAGGAGAAGGAGAAGGAGCAGAAGAGGAGGAGGAGGAGGAGAAGCGGAGGAGGAGGAGGAGAGGAGGAGAGCAGAAGAAGAGGAGGAGGRCGATAAGAGGAGAAGGAGAGCAGGAGGAGAAGAAGAAGATCAGATGAGGAAGAGGAGAGGGGGAGGAGGAGGAGAAGGAGAAAGCAGCAGWGGAGGAGCAGAAGAAGAAGACGAGAAGGAGAGGAGAAGGAGCAGAAGAGGAGAAGGAGGAGGAGAAGCGGAGGAGGAGGAGAGGAGGAGAAGAGCAGATGAGGAAGAGGAGGAGGAGGAGATAAAGAAGAACAGAAGAGGAGGAGGAGGAGATGAGGAGGAGAAGGAGAAGGAGAAGAAGAAGAGGATGATGAGAAGAAAAAGAATAAGCGGAGGAGGAGCAAACCCAAACTTTTAAGCCGCCAGAAACAGTTTCCTAAATGAAAACTAGTCCTAAAGAGTCCCAGGACCCCTTAATTGAGCTGCCTAGAAATACCAAATATCAAATATAGGGTTCATTAGTCACCCCTTTCCCAAGGAATGTCGAATTGAAATCCACCGCAGTCGCTGTCCTCACCAAATAGCTACTTAAGGCGCTTATTTTCTCAAGAAGAAATCCCATATGCTGACTGGGTTTTACTCAGCGGCAACAAGGGATAGGATCCCATTCCTCGCTGTAGAGGCGATTAAACTATTTTTTATGGCAAGCACTTAATTTTCTCCTCTTCTAGGAAGTCAGCCACACTTTGAAAAACTTCTCACATAAACCCAACCATTGGCATTATTTAAAAAGGTGCAAAATACAACATTAATCCAGTAAAAGAGGAGGGTGGAAGCCAGAACGGGAACTCGCCAACCGCGCCTGGTGAAAGCCGTTCTTTGTCAGATGCAAAGGAATATTTTTAATTTCCCTCATTAAAAAAATTAAATAAATGGAAGTGATAGCTATGCTGCTGGATGCGAAATGGATTCTGGGTGACCTTTCTGCGCTTCTTGAGATGCATCTACATTGTGGAAAGAATGCACTGCTATAACTACTATAGGCTCAACCCTATGGGATCCTGGGATGTGAAGTTTGATGGGGCGCCAGCACTCTTTCCCAAAGAAAACTAAACACTTTGTAAAACCACAAGTCCCATGATTCCATAGCACTGAGTCAGGGCACCAATGTTTTCTGTGAATCTGATGGGGAAGTGTTGCCGAGTTGGTAACTTCTGCGAGAGACCAGAAGGGGGCGCCAAAGGACAGCAATAAAGCCGCCGGCAGACTTCCGCTTCCTCTGCTCAAACTGGTTCCTCTATCCAAGGGTTTGTGGACGAAGCTCTCGCTTCCTTGCAGACTGTAGAGGGGTGTTTTACTATTTTACATCCCGGATGCACCCGGGATTTCCTCTTGTTTGCGTAGCTGGATCGATTCATGCAACTCCCAGGTTTATTTGGCTTTGCTATACTCTTTTCTCTTTTGCCCACGACCTTCACACATGGTTTCCATGCCTTCCAAGTGTTCCAGGATCCCAGCGAAGAAGATTGGTGGGAGGGGAGGTTTGGGAAGCAGTGTAGAAGGGGCCTCAGTGCTATCAAATCATCTATTGAGGCACCAGCACTCTGCAACGCCCATAATTTCATAGCATTCGGCCGAGGCAGTTAAAGTGGCGTCAAACCGTGTTAATTCTACAGCGTAGATGCACTCAAAGTCAATAGAACGGCAGTAATATATTCAGCATCGCCCTGTTCTCAATATTCCACCAAACCCTCTAGTAGGAAACCATAGGCGCCTCTCTCAACCCACATAGCACATACCTCAGCTCCCTCATTCCTGCAATAATCCCTGAATCAATCCTTTTAGATTCAAGGAAATTTGCTTCCGAACGACAGAGTAGGGGGATGTTTACAATTAAACTCCATTCAAAAATAGGTGACACCCAACCCAAAAACTCTGGCAACGTTTTGGGGATATTGGAGTGAGTTCAGTAGCCATAAGCTTTCACGGGCTCCAGTCTTCCTCAGCTGGAGGGAGAAGCAGAAGAGGCTTCTTTTGCTGCCACAACGGAGTTCAAAGGCGCACCAACTCCAGGCATGGGCAAACTTGGGCCCCCCAGGTGTTTTGGACTTCAATTCCCACCATTCCTAACAACCTCAGCTCCGTACTTTTCTCTCTCAGCCACTTAAGCGGGAAAGGAAAAAGGAAAAGAGAAAAGGAAGGGGCCTGAGGAGGCTGTTAGGAATGGTGGGAGTTGAAGTCCAAAACACCTGGGGAAGGGCTCAAGTTGGCCCATGTCTGATCTACACTGTAGAATTAATGCAGTTCGATACTGAGCTAACTGACATAGTTCACGGCTATAGAATCCTGGGAACTGAGACGTCAGTACTATTTTGCAGAGAAGGCCAACTGTAACTCCCTTAATTCCATAGAACGAAACCATGGCAATTAGAGTGGTGCCAAACTGCATTAATTCTGCAGTGTAGATACACTCTCTCTTCTCGTCCCAAATGACACTCTTCTCGGGGTGGTGGGGTGGGGTGGAAGGGTCGCAAACGCTGTGGTTTTTCATGATTTAAAGTCAGGTAAAGGTTGTTTACCTTGATTCCAGTGAAATCAGAAATGCTCTTGAGGGCTCATGCCCTCAATATAAAAACAGATGATGAGTGTCACTTATTTGAAAGGCACCCTTCTCCTTCCAGAGTAGAGGTGCATCTACACTGTTGAGTTAGTGTACTTTGACACCACTTTAACTGCCATGTGTACAATACTGTAGAATCCTGGGAGCCGTGATTTGACAATTGCCCCTTCCACACAGCTGAATAAAATCCCACATTATCTGCTTTGAACTGGAATATATATCAGTGTGGACTCAAATAACCCAGTTCAAAGCAGATATATGGCTGTGTGGAAGGGCCCAGAGAAAGAGTAGACCTGGATGTGGACTGATTCCACCCGCATATTTACATCCCCAAACCCAAACAACCTAAAGGGGCCCTTCCACACAGCCCTATATCCCAGAATATCAAGGCAGAAAATCTCACAATAACTGTTTTGAATTGGGCTATCTAAGTCTACACTCAGATGATGTGGGATTTTCTGCCTTGATATTGGGTTATAAGGCTGTGTGGCTCAAGATCTTCTCTGTCCAGGAGTGTTGGTATCCCATCAATCTACAATTCCCGTCATTGCTCATGGCGGTTGAAGTGATGTCGAACTAGAGTAATTCTACAGCCTAGATGCAATTAGCCTATAGGAAAGATGCGTGAGAAGAGACATAATAACCATGTTTAAATATTTGAAAATATGTAAGAAAGAGGGAGCATTATTGCCCTTGAGACTAGGACAATGGGTTCAAATTGAAGGAGAAGAGATTCCACCTGAAAATTAGGAAGAACTTCCTGACTGCAAGAGCTGTTCATCAGTGGAACTCTCTGCTTCATAGTGTGGTGGAAACTCCTTCCTTGGAGGCTTTTAAACAGCGGCTGGATGGCCATCTGTCGGGGAAGCAATATTACCTTTGAGACTAGGACAGTAGGTTCAAATTGAAGGAGAGGAGATTCCACTTGAAAATTAGGAAGAACTTCCTGTCTGCAAGAGCTGTTCAGAGGTGGAACTTTCTGCCTTGGAGTGTGGTAGAAACTCATTTCTTGGAGGCTTTTAAACAGAGGTTGGATGGCCATCTGTCGGGGGAGCAATATTACCCTTGAGGCAATGGGTTCAAATTGAAGGAGAGGAGATACTACCTGAACATCAGGAAGAACTTCCTGACTGCAAGAGCTGTTCAGCAGTGGAACTCTCTGCTTCAGAGTGTGGTAGAAACTCCTTCCTTGGAGGCTTTTAAACAGGGACTGGATGGCCATCTGTCGGGGTGCTTTGTGCTTTTCCTGCATGGCAGGGGGTTGGACTAGATGACCCATGTGGTCTCCTCCAACTCCATGATGATTCCATGAATGTTAGTCAAGAATCAAATAAACCAAAGCGGGCCGACGTCTAGTCGCAGCATCCCAGAGAAGATGTAAGTGGGCGGAGGGTCAAGGGAGAATCTCCGTGGGTCCGGACCTGGGTGGAAAGGCAGAAGGAGAGGCCCGCTGGGGATCAGGGGAGGCGGAGAAGTTGCCCCCTTAATGACAGGCGCTTTATCTCGGCTTGGGCGTCATGATCGCCATCAAAGTTCCCTTCGAGGAGAGAGTTTCCGATAGGAAGGCCGGCGAGGCGTCCTCTCCCCCCCCCCCCACTTCTTTCCTTCCACTCGTGTCCCTTACAGAGCTGGGAGAGATTGGCTCGGAAGGGAGAGAAAGAGAAAGAAAGAAAGAGGGAGGGGAGAAGCAGATGAGCAAACTGAGAGCCAGGTAACTTTGCGGTTGGGAGTGRCGGGGGAGGCTGTAGGGAAGTTGAGATGAGGATGAGACGGGTGGCTTTCAGGATTTTCCAAGTCCTTTGAAAGCTTGAGATCCAGCCCTTTGGGGGGGGGGACTGGGCGGGTGTGGGGGGGTTGGTTAAGAAGGAGTTACAGGGCTTCGATTGAGAAAGGTGGGTGAGGTGGGAGAGAAATCGAGGTAGAAGGGGAAACGCCTCGATGCATGAATGGAGGCCTTTCCCCACTCCCTCCCTCCCTCCCTCCATCCTCCCCCTCCCCCTTCTCTCTGATGCTCTAAATCATGTCTTTAAGATTCCTCGGGATTCTTGGTAGGGTTTTTTTTCTTTTTGGTGCTCAGTCAGTCCTCCAAAGAGAGGGTTGGGAGCCAGAGGCGAAGGAAGGAAGGGCTGGAGACGAGTTCCGTCCATAAACCGGATTCCAGAAAGAGCCCCTTCYTCCCTTCCCTCCTTCCTTCCTTCCCTCCCTTTCTCCCACCTCCCTGGACGCCTTAAGGAAATACAACGAACCCCGCTAAGGTCGCAATTCGGGGGTCCATGCGTGGGCTGAGGGGCGCCTTAGATGCTCTTGGGCTGGTACGTATCCGGTTCCACGTCTGACGGGGGTTGTTTCGTGTATTTGTTTGTCCGCCTCTCTCTCTCTATGTATTTATGTGTGCTTATGTATATATGTATGTACAGACATAGATATAGATATAGATATAGTATATGTGTGTGTGTATACACACACACACACACATATATGTTTATATTTATATTTATGTATATGTATATATATACATACACACACAATGTATTGTCGAAGGCTTTCATGGCCGGGATCCCTGGGTGGTTGTGAGTTTTTCGGGCTGTCTGACCATGTTCCAGAAGCATTCTCTCCTGACGTTTTACCCCCATCTATGGCAGGCATCCTCAGGGGTTGTGAAGATGCCTGCCATAGATGCAGGCGAAACGTCAGGATAGCCCCGAAAACTCACAACTGCACACACAATATCTGTACACGTTGTGTGTAGGGGGCAAATCGGTTCCTTCAAAGGAAGCCCATATATTTTCCTAAACAGAAACGTGGGAGTGGAGGGGGTAATGGGATAGTTTGCCCATCACCACCTTTGGTGAGTTTTGTTTTCGATCTATTATTATTATTATTACTATTATTATTATTATTATTATTATTATTATTATTATTATTATTATTATTATTTGAAACACAACAAACAAGATCCACAGCAGACAAGATCACTCTGCTGGCTGTTGTATTGGATCACACGTCGGACACTTCTCAAGTTATTATTATTATTATTAGTTGTTGTTATTATTATTATTATTATTATTATTATTATTATTATTCGCTCTGAGTCCCCTTGGGGTGAGAAGGGCGGCATATAAATGTCGTAAATAAATACATATTATTATTGTTGTTACTACGTTTATTTATACCTCGCTTTTTTCTCCACAAGGAGACCCTAGAAGGGACTCAGACCCTCTCTTTTAATTTCCAATCTCTTCCTCTAAATTCACACCCCTCTCCCTCCTCGTGTCATTGAATCCTGTTGTTTCTGTCAGAGGGCAAAACGAGGCAGAAACGCCTCGCTTCAGAAGCTTCCAACACCCTCACACAAAGCCAAGAGGGGAGGGGAAGGGGCTTGTTTGTGTGTGAGAGAGTGCGACGTGTGTGCGAGGCAGAGAATCAGAGCATAATGATGCCCCTAAATGAAGGGGGAAATGTTTGCCGGGCTCGTTTTATTAATCCGCCTGTCAATGCCACCCCAGAGGCCAAAGCAGCCCAGGACCCTCTCCTCTTCCTCCTCCTCCTTCCTCTTTTTCTTCTTCCTCCTCCTCACTCCGGGTCTTCCTGCTTCCCTACCTGGATCTATTTGTCTGCTCCGAAGCCGCTGACAGGATCCTGTATTTATTTGCTTATAAACCCGTTCCAATAAATGATCATTCGCCGAGCGTCACTCGACCCTTCCTGACGAGCGCACTCCCTTCTTTTCCTCTCTCCTGATGAGTGACATTTCGGGGCAATAGAAGGATGTGCGGGTCCCTTTGACCAGGCACCCCTTTCTCGCTATTTTATATATATATATATTCCAAACAGAAATAATAACCCTATTTGGAGACATCTGAATGAGAACTCGCTTTGGCGGCAAAGAGGAGGAGGAGGAAGAAGAGGAAGAGAAGGAGGACGCTGCTGTTTTCCCACCTCGATCCGCGCACGTTTTTGTCTCGCTGCTCTGTACTGATAGTGTTGTTTATTTTTTTGTTTTCTTTCCCGAGGCGGGGGGAAGCTGAGATGATGGAAAGGATCCGGAAAGAGATGCTGCTGATGGAGCGCGGCTTGCACGGCCCACCCGCGGGGAAGCGCCTCGTGTCCAGCCTCTCCGGGGACCCCGAGGGCCTGGAGCAGAGCCCGCCTTCGCACGGAGGGCGCCTCAGCCCCCGCCTGCCCCCCGCCGCCCTCCACGGGCCCCTGGGCGACCTGCCCCCCACCAAGGGCAAGTTCGAGATCGAGGCGCTCTTCGGCCTGGCGCACCCCAACAGCGCCGCCGACGCCGCCGAGATGGCCCCGTCCTCGGACCCCTCCGCCGCCGCCAGGAAGAAGATGAGCCACTACTCCTCCGCCGCCGAAGTGGCCCAAGAGGCCGAGATGGGCAGCGACGTGGAGGTGGGCTGCTCCGCGCTGCGCTCCCCCGCCGGCCTGGCCGCCTCCCAGCTCAAGGAGAACAACAGCGGCAAAGGTAGGCTTGAGGGAAAGATTTAGAGACAACAAGCATCTCTTCGTTGATTGGGAGGGGAGCTTGGGGGGAAGGCAAGGCAGACAAGCATCTCTCTCAGCGCCCAAGCTGAGCCTGCATCTACCCTGGCCACACACAGGGCCCTTCCATACAGCCCTATATCCCAGAATATCAAGGCAGAACATCTCACATTATCAGCTTTAACTGGAATATATGGTAGTGTAAACTCAGGCCCCTTCCACACAGCCCTATATCCCAGAATATCAAGGCAGAAAATCCCACATTTATCTGAGCGTGGACTCAAATAACCCAGTTTAATGTATTGTCGAAGGCTTTCATGGCCGCAATCACTGGGTTGTTGTAGGTTTTTTCGGGCTATATGGCCATGTTCTAGAGACATTTTTTCCTGACGTTTCGTCTGCATCTACCTCTGAGGATGCTTGCCATAGATGCGGGCGAAACGTCAGGAGAAAATGCCTCTAGAACATGGCCATATAGCCCGAAAAAACCCACAACAACCCAACCCAGTTTAAAGCAGATATTATGGGATTTTCTGCCTTGATATTCTGGGATATAGAGCTGTGTGGAATCAGCATTATTATTATTATTATTATTATTATTATTATTATTAATTTCCTTTGTCTTCTGTCCATTAGAATCCAGACTACAAACCCACAACGGAGGGTAATCGAGTCCCTTATGGATTCCTTATGTTTAGGATTTCTGCTGAGGACCTCTTAGGCTGGTTCTATACTACCCCAAGGAAATGGGAAATTGATGCTTCTGTTCAATATTTTGATTTATGTCTGATATAACACGCTGCATGTTTAAATTTAATTTTAGCCAGGTTATTGTAAGGTTGGGTTTTTTTTGGCTGTATGGCCATGTTTCAGAAGCATTCTCTCCTGACGTTTCGCCTGCATCTATGGCAGGTATCCTCAGATGGAGGCGGGGTGTAAATAAAGTTTTATTATTTTTATTGCCTAGTTTCCAACAGACCCCTCAACCTCTGAGGATGCCTGCCATAGATGCAGGCGAAACGTCAGGGGAGAATGCTTCTGGAACATGCCCATACAACCCGAAAAATTAATACATTAATTTTAGTTAAGTCATAATTTGTTTGTATATGTTGGGTTGCCATATTTCGTTACTATGGATGTATTGTTGTTGTATTCTGGCATTGAATGTTTGCCCTTTATGTTTAGAATCCGCCCCAGTCCCTCCTGGGAGAGAGATAGGGAAGAATATAAATACATTTTCCTTATTATTATTTTATTATTATGGACCCTTCCACACAGGGCTATATCCCAGAATATCAAGGACGAAAATCCAACATTATTTGTGAACTCAACCCAATTCAAAGCAGATATTGTGGGATTTTCTGGCTTGATATTCTGGAATACAGGGCTGTGTGGAAGGGCCCTTGATCCCAGGATCTGATCCCAGACTGATTTTTTAATCTAAGATAATATGTAGACTCATATAATCCATCAAAGTAGATAATCTGGGATCAGATCCTGGGATATAAGGCAATGGAGATTTAGTCTTAGTTGGGTGCTCTGGATGTGTTCAAAAGTATCAAAATATTCTACTAGATCTTTTTTTAAAGAGGGGAGCATTTTAACTCTCCAACCCACTGCTTTAAGGAATAATTACCGTCCATCATAAAATCGAAGTGGTGTGTTGATTCCGTACCCTGTGTAACACGCCACTTTCCCAGTTTTCTGTGTGTTGGGCATCTCTTCTACTGGGATTTATGCATTTTGGAGATCGAAGTGTCACCAGCATCGGGTTTATTTTGGTTTGTTTTGTTTGTGAGGGTCTGTTCCCAAGTGGCAGGTCAAGGCAGGTGTCTTTTGTATACATTTGGGGCAACGCTTTGCAACAAGAGTATTTTCAAAGCTGCTCCTGAGACACTGTCTTTTTTATATCTTACTGTCTCGTTTAGAATTGCTTCTTCCCCCAAAGTATTGGTTGCAAATTATAGTGTCTAATTATTATTATTATTATTATTATTATTATTATTATTATTATTATTATTATTATATTACATTGTTGTTGTTGTTGTTGTTGACGTTCGGTTGTCGTTTCCATTTTTAAAAACCCACTCAACATTTATTCATCTATTTTCGAAACTAAAATCTCCCCAAATTTCATGTGACTTGTTCTCCATCCATAAACTTGGGTGAAAAAAGTACAAACAACTGGTTCGCGTGGAATTGTTGACTTTTTATGTTAGGAAGGATATCTCAGCGTCAGTCAAGGATTAGCAGCAACTTTTGGATCTCATCAATAATTTAGAAAACTGGGTTGCTGTGAGTTTTCCGGGCTGTCTGGCCATGTTCCAGAAACATTCTCTCCTGACATTTCACCCACATCTTTGGCAGGCATCTTCAAATGTTGTGAGATCTGTTGGAAACTAGGCAAGAGGGGTTTATATATCTGTGGAAAGTGGGAGAAAACGACCTCGGGGGGGGGGGGGGGTTTTTTTTCCCTAGGCTGATAGCATCTTGAAACGAAACGAGAAGCGCATTTATTGACCATCTTTCTCTGTTTATCGTTGACATTTTGATACATTTATTAAAAAAACCCAGAAAGCCATGTTGTTTTGGATCAGTTCCATTTTAAACGAAGACATTCCTAACTTTCCTTTGGCGATTTGGTTACACAGAAGGAAGCCGGGTGGTGGTTGATTTCCATTTAAAAAAAGAGATGCCTAATATATATAAATATATAAATATATAAATATATATGTATGTATGTATATGTATATGTATGCATGTATATGTGTGTGTGGGGGGGGGGGGGTGTCTCCTTTTTCTCAATGGAAATCAACTACCAACCGGCTTCCTTCTGTGTATATATATTTTCTGGCAGAAGGATTATACTAATTTTAACAAAAAACAAGGGAGGAGAAACTTCTTATTATTATTATTGATCCTATTAAGGGCGGCGATTTGTATCCGTGACAGCGAGGATTAATTATCCGAGAGGGAGGGAGAGGGAGGGAGAGAGAGAGGGAGAGAGAGAAAAGGGACAGCTTGCCAAGGGTGCCCCTCACTCACATCCCCAAAGCCACTCCTGGAGGATAAATCGCCCTCGCTCTCTCTCTCTCTCTGCCTGCCTCTCTCTCAATCCCCAATTCTTCTTCTTCTGTTGTCTCTCCTTCGCAGGCTACTCGGACAGCGGCTCGACCCCCAGCAACCCCACCTCGTCGTCCTCCTCGTCGTCCTCCTCGTCTTCCTCCTCCTCCTCGGGCCTCAGCGGCCTCCACGGCGGCGGCGCCCTGGGCTCCTCGGGCTCCAGCGCCGACCAAGTGCGGAGGTACCGCACCGCCTTCACCCGGGAGCAGATCGCCCGGCTCGAGAAGGAGTTCTACCGGGAGAACTATGTCTCCCGGCCCAGGAGGTGCGAGCTGGCCGCCGCCCTCAACCTCCCCGAGACCACCATCAAGGTATGTCGCCAAACCGGCCATGGTTGGCTCCATCCCAAGGCCTCTCTTCACCTCCATATCTCCATCGCCACCTGGGCTTTGCTGACTGTGTTGGGGTGCATCTACGCCGGAGAATGAGTGCAGTTTGACCCCACTTTAGCTGTCACCACCCATGGGATTTGTAGTTTGCACTCTTTGGTAAAGAAGGGTTTAAAAAATCGCTCAGACTCTCCAGATGGTGCGTGTATTTACTGAGAAGAAGGCATCCACACACCACCACTTGGACTGCCATGGCTCAATGCTATGGAATCGTGAGGGTTGCAGCTTGACAGAAGTCTTTAGCCTCCCCTGCTAAAGAGGGCTGGTGCCTGAGCAAACTGCAACTCCTTTTATTCCATAGCAGTGGGCCAAAGTGGTGTCGAACGGCGTTCGTTCTACAATGTAGACCCATCCCCCAATTCCTTCAAGCCAAAGAGATGAGAATAATACTTTTCTCTTTGGCTTGGTTCTCCCAGTTATTTTTAACCTCAGGATCGTTGGCTCTTTCTAGCCGGAAGGCAGGTTATCCTTACCTTTCCCTCCCTTTCCCTTTCCCTTTCCCCTTTCATTTCCTTTCCTTTCCCTTCCCTTTCCTCTTTCCCCTCCCCCTCCCCCTCCCCCTCCCCCTTTCCTTTCCTTTCCTTTCCCCTCCCTTCCCTTCACTTTCTTCCTTTCCTTTCACTTTCCCTCTCCTCTCCCCCTTCCCCTTTCTTTTCTTTTCCCCTTTCTCTTTCCCCTCCCCTCCCTTCCCTTCACTTTCTTCCTTTCCTTTCCCTTTCCTCTCCCCCTTCCCCTTTCTTTTCCTTCCCTTTCCGTTTCTCCTTTCCCCATTCCCCTCCCCCTTTCCTTTCCTTTTCCTTCCCCTCCCCCTTCCCCTTTCTGAGAGGAGACGGGATGATTGGGAGGGAAAGAATGCCATTCACAAATAAACCTACCAAGTATCCAAGTTTGGACTCGTAATTTAGGACGGATCTCCGCTGCCATATAATCCAATATCTGATCCCATATTATCTGCTTTGAATTGGATTATATGACTCTACACTGCCTTATACTCCAGTTCAAAACAGATAAATCTGGGATCAGAAACTGGATTATATGGCAGTGTGGATCCAGCTTTAGTCATTTTGGAGTGGGACGGTGTTAGATCTCCCGGAGTACTTTATTGACGATTATTTTCGCTCAATGAGGGGGCATCTACACTGCAGAATTAGTGCACTTTGGCACTATTTTAACTACTATGGAAGCGTGGAAATTGTAGTTTTACCAAGTATGTAGCCTTTTCTGGCAAAAAGTGCTGGTGCAAATCTCAGGGTTCCACAGCATTGAGCCACGGCAGGTCAAGTGGTGTCAAAGTGCACTAATTCCACAGTGTAGATGCACCACGGTTGATGCACCCTCGTTCTTTTGTAGTCATAAGAGAACGCTTTGGTTTTGGTGGCTATACACCAACGTTTAGGTTTATTTGCGAGTGAATGCTCTTGTTTTGGGTTGCTGAGAGTTTTCCGGGATGTATGGCCATGTTCCAGAAGCATTCTCTCCCGACTTTTCGCCCACATCTATGGTAGGAATCCCCAGAGGCTGTGAGGTCTGTTGGAAACTGGGCAAGTGGGTTTTATATATCTGTGGAATGTCCGGGGTGGGAGAAAGAACCCTTGATTGGCATGTTTTGATTTGTGTTCCGCCTGAGATAAATATCTGGGCAGGATGGAGCAGTGAATGGGAGCGGGAGAAAGATCCCTAACATATAGGCTAAAAATAAGATACATAAAATAAATAAAAAAGTGGAGAGTGTTTCCTTCTGGAAGGTGTTGCTATCCGGGCCACCTTTCAAAACTCAGCTGAAAGAGATGTATTGCCAGCGTGCTCTTTGGGAGAAAACCCGGCGTAGATCCGGTTTGTGTGGCGTTTAAAACTTCATTGATCTCTGTCTCAGACACCCGCCTCCGTGCATCATCTCCAAACAAGTCCGTTTAAGGACGGTGTCGGCTCCTTTTAATTGAGAATCGTTACCTCGCATTATTATGATGAGAAGAAATACATTGAAGTGCAACTATTTCTTTGGCTTTTAAAAATGTGTGAATGGAGGAGAGAGTTCTAACACAGCGGTGGTGACAAAGGATACCTCAAGGCGCTTGCTCAAGTAGCGTCAGGGTGCATATTCTACACTGTAGAATAAATGCAGTTTGGCATCGCTTCAATGCTATGGAATTATAGTTCTGCATTATCTTTTAACTTCTGTGAAAGTGACTTACCAAACTCCAAATTATAAATTCAGCATCCTTTTATTTATTTAACAGTCACATTTGCAATCTGTCTTCCAAGAAAGCTAAGTGTGCATCTATGGTGTAGAATGAATGCAGTTTGACACCAATGTAACTGCCATTGCGCAATGTTATGGAATCCTGGGAGTTGTAGTTCGGTGAGGCACTAGAACTCTTTGGTAGAGAAGGATAAAGACCTTGTAAACTACAGTTCCCGTGATTCCATAGCAGTCAAAGGGGCGTCAGGCTGCATTCATTCTTCAGTGTAGATGTCCACAAAGACTCCTGCTTACAGTCTCCCTTCCTCATCCTCTTCCCCCCAATTTCCTTGCTCATAAGTCGTTAGAATTGAGCCAGGGCAGGTCAAGTGGTGTCAAACAGTGCAAATTCCACAGTATAGATGCACCCGAAGGCAATAGAACTGCTTGGTGCTATTCATTCTGCAGTGATGCTTGCAGCCTCCCTCTCTCATTCCCTTCTCCCCAATTTCCTTGCTCATGGTTCCATTGCCATGACGCAGTTAATTCTGGAGTGGAGATGCACCTTAGGACTCCTACTTTTTGTTTTCCCCTCTCTCGTCCTCTTCTCCTTAATTTCCTCCTTCGTGTCCCCTAGCATTGTGCCATGGAAGGTCAAGGGGTGTCAGACTGTATCAGTTCTACAATGTAGATCAGGCATGGGCAAACTTTGGCCTTCCAGACTGTTAGGAATTGTGGTAGTTGGAGTCTAAAACACCTGGAGGGCCAAAGTTTTCCCATGCCTGATGTGGATGCACCCAAAGGCCACAGAACTGCTTGATGCCATTCATTCTATAGTGTAAATGCATTCAAAGGCCATAGGACTGCCTGATGTCTTTCATTCTATAGGGTAGATCAGGGGTCCTCAAACTTTTTAAACAGAGGGCCAGGTCACAGTCCCTCAAACTGTTGGAGGGCCGGATTATAATTTGAAAAAATAAAAGTATGAATTCTTATGCACACTGCACAAATCTTATTTGTAGTGCAAAAAAAACCCCACTTTAAAACAATACAATAATTAAAATTAAGAATAATCTTAACAAATATAAACCTATTAGTATTTCAATGGGAGGTGTGGGCCTGCTTTTGGCTGATGAGATAAGATTGTTGTTGTTGTGTCCAGACTTAGGTTGACCCTGAGCAAGGGCCGGGTAAATGACTTTGGAGGGCCGTATTTGGCTCTCTATGGCTTTAGTTTGAGGACTCCTGGTGTAGATGCACCCAAAGGCCACAGCACCGCTTGATGCCATTCATTCTATAGTGTAAATGCACCCAAAGGCCATAGAACTGCTTGATGGCATTCATTCTATAGCATACATCAGTCATCCTCAAACGGGTGGCCCTGGAAAAGCTCGTTAGGGCTTCTGGGAGTTGGAGGCCCAAACAGCTGGAGGGCTGCAGTTTGAGGATGCCAGGCATAGATGCACCCAATGGCCACAGCACTGCCTGATGTCTTTCATTCTGTAGTGTAGATGCACCCAAAGGCCACAGAACAGTTTGATGCCATTCATTCTATAGCATACAGGCACCCAAAGCCATAGTACTGCCTGATGTCATTCATTCTATAGTATAAAAGCATCAAAAAGCCATAGCACTGATTGATGTCTTTAATTCTATAGTGTAGATGCACCCCATGGCCATAGAAGTGCTTGATGCCATTTATTCTGTAGTGTAGATGCACCCAAAGGCCACAGAGCAGTTTGATGTCATTCATTCTATAGCATACAGGAACCCAAAGCCATAGCATTGCTTGATGCCATTCATTCTACAGCATAGATGCACTCAAAGGCCAAAGTTCTGTTTGATGTCTTTCATTCTGCAGTGTAGATGCACCCAAAGACCACTGAACTGCTTGATGTCTTTCAATCTATAGTTTATCTGCACCCAAAAGATATAGCACCACTTGATGTCATTCATTCCATAGTGCAGATGCACCCAAAGGTCATAGAGCTGCTTGTTGTCTTCCATTCTATAGTGTAGATGCACTAAAGGCCATTGTACTGCTTGATGCAATTCATTCTAAGGATAGATGCACCCAATGGCCATAGAAGTGCTTGATGCCATGCATTCTGTAAGGTAGATGCAACCAAGAGTCACAGCACTGCTTGATGCCATTCATTCTATAGCGTAGATGCACCCAAAGGCCATAGAGCTGCTTGATGTCTTTCATTCTAGGGTGTAGATGCCTCCAAGGCCTCCTGCTTGCAGTCTCCCTCCTTCATCCTCTTCTCCCCAATTTCCTTTCCTTTGTCCCCTAGCGTTGGGCCAGGGCGAGTCAAGCGGGGCCACCCCGCCGTGTGGATGCTTCTCTGACCCYCTGCCTTGTCCCCTTTCTCCCCTCCTTCCAGGTGTGGTTCCAGAACCGCCGCATGAAGGACAAGCGCCAGCGGCTGGCCATGTCGTGGCCGCACCCGGCGGACCCCAGCTTCTACACCTACATGATGACGCACGCGGCGGCCACGGGCAGCCTGCCCTACCCGTTCCACTCCCACGTGCCCCTCCACTACTACCCCCACGTCGGGGTCACGGCGGCGGCGGCGGCAGCGGCAGCCTCCGGGGCGGCGGCGGCGGCCTCCCCTTTCGCCACCTCCATCCGCCCRCTGGACACCTTCCGCGCCCTCTCGCACCCTTACTCCCGGCCCGAGCTGCTGTGCAGCTTCCGGCACCCGGGCCTCTACCAGTCGCCCGCCGCCGCCGCAGGACTCAACTCCACGGTCGCCGCTGCCGCCGCCGCGGCCGCCGCCGCGGCTTCCTCAGCCCCTCCGTCGGGCTCGGCGCCTTGCTCCTGCCTCAGTTGCCACAGCAGCCAGGCGGCAGCGGCGGCCGCGGCGGCCTTGGGCTCTCGGGCGGGCTCGGGCGCGGATTTCCCTTGCACGGCGGGCGGGGCGGCTCCCGCGCAGCGCTCCTCGGAGAGCGGCTTCCTGCCTTACTCCGCCGCGGTGCTGAGCAAGACGGCCGTGCCCTCGCCGGACCCGCGGGAGGAGGCGCCCTTGACCAGATAGCCTCTAGGTGGCGCTGTGGGGAAGAAGCAGGCGCAGGCGGCGCGGGGGAAGGCCAGGGCGGGACCCGCAGACATACACTGGAGAGCTTGTCTTTGGGGTGGGGGCTTGGTGGTGGTTGTTTTCTTAAAGTTATCATCTTTAGATCTATCATTCGTCCCAGGGCCCCCTCGAAGCCAAGACTAAGGCCTCTTCTACACTGCCATATAATCCTAAATATCAAAGCAGATAATCCATATTATTTGTTTTGAAGTGGATTATATGAGCCTACATTGCCATATAATCCAAATTATCTGCTTTGGATTATATGAGTCTGCACTACCATATAATCCACATTATCTGCTTTGAATTGGATTATATGAGTCTTCACTGTAATATAATCCATATTATCTGCTTTGGATTATATGAGTCCACGCTGCCATATAATTCACATTATCTGTTTTGGATTATATGAGTCTACACTACCATATAATCCACATTATCTGCTTTGAAGTGGATTGTATGAGTCTTCACTACCATATATTCCACATTATCTGTTTGAACTGGGTTATATGAGTCTATACTGTCATACAATCCACATTATCTGCTTTGAACTGGATTATATGAGCCTACACTGCCATATAATCCAATTCAAAGTAGATAATACGGGTTTTCTAAGGCAGTGTACAAGGGACCTAAATTGGCTTTAAAATGAGAATTGTAACCGTTCTTTTGAGTGTGATTCTTATTCTTATTTATATAAGTAAATTGTGATTCTTATTGTGCCCCCCTTGGAAGTAAAAACTAAAGTTGGATCTACACTGCCCCATAATCCAGCTAACCAAAGTGGATAATCCAGATTATTTTGTTTGAACTGGATTATATGAGTCTGTGCTGCCATATAATCCAATTCAAATCTGATAATTTGGATTTTATATGGCAGTGTAGATGGGGCCTAAGATTGGCTCTACATTGCTATATAAATTCCAGATTATCTTCTTTAAACTACACTGCCATATACAATCCAGGTTATCTGCTTTGATAACATTATGCAACAAAATTTGAAAAGAAAACCTTCCTATTTTGAAAGTGTTTTTTCTTGCTTAATTGTATGGTAATTACTTTGAAAGTGGTTATTATACTCCAGAAACATTTGTTTCAGTGGCTGAGGATAGTACTATTATTTCCTTCAGTCTAGGCACTTCGTGGTTTGTGACTTTTCTTAATGAAAAGATGTCATTTTTAACTTTTCTGTGTGCAGGCTTCCACAAAGTTTTTGCAGTTTAATAAACTTTTCCATGTTTTTTTAATGATAGAACAAATTAGGAAATGACATTTGTAACCCAGGAACAAAAATCATGTTGTATAGTGTAATTTGGATTTTATGGCAGTGTAGATCCAGCCTAAGAGGCTTTCAATTTGTTATTATAGAACTGTAGAGTTAGAAGGGATCACAATGACCATCCAGTCCAAGCCCTTTCTGATGTATAGGAAAATACAATCAAACTATTCCTGACAGATGGCCATCCAACCGCTGTTTCAAAATCTCAGTAGTTCTCAATCTATGGGTCCCCAGATATTTTGGCCTTCAATTCCCAGAAATCCTAACAGCTGGTAAACTGGCTGGGATTTCTGAAAGTTGTAGGCCAAAACATCTGGGAACCTACAGGTTGAGAACCACTGCTCCACAGAAACTCCCAACATATTCTGCTGTCAGATAGCTTTGAGGTCAGGAAATTCTTTCTGATGTTCAGGTGGAATCCCATTTCCTGCCATTTCAATCCATTGCTCTGTGTCCTAGTCTCCAGAGCAGCAGAAAAGAAGCTTGACACCCCCCCCCCCCAAAATGTGGCGTCCTCTCAAATAAACAGGACTCTCATGTTCTCTCTCAGCTTTCTCTTCTCCAAGCTAAACCTACCCAAGTTCCACAGACACTCCTCTGAAAGCTGGGCTTCCAAACTTTTGGTCGCTCTTCTTTGGATACATTCCAGTATGTCAATGGCCCAATGGAAGCAAAAACTAAGGGTCCTTCCAGACAGGTTCTATATCCCAGGATCTGATCCCAGATTTTCTGCTTTAAACTGGATTATATGAGTCCACATTGACAGATAATTTGGGATAAACAGAAAACCTGGGATCAGATCCTTAGGTGGGCTTTGAAATAAGAATTCTCATCATATTTTTTTTACTGTAATTCATGTCACGCCTCTATGGAAGCAAAAAGTAAGGTGACATGTCAAGTGGGTTCTCCTGCATGGCAGAATGGGACTGGATGACTCTTGTGCTCTCTTCCAGCTCTAGGAAAAGTTCTGTGAACAGTTAAGTTAGCTGGAGAAGAATCTGGGGATCAACCTTTCTTAGAAGGACCAAAATCCACCTACTTTTTCATCTCACACAGGGAAGAGCCCAAGGAGTGCATCAACACTGAAGAATTAATGCAGTTTGATACCACTTCGAGTGGCAGATCCCAATGCTATGGAGTTATGGGAATTTGTAGTTTGCCCAGCATTCTTTGTCAGGGAAGGCTCAATGAAGATCTTGTCAAACTGCAATTCCCAGGACTGCATAGCATTGAGCCATGACAGTTCAAGTACATTCATTCTGCAGTGTAGATCAAGCATGGGTAAACTTAGGCCCACCAGATGTTTTGGACTCCAACTCCCACAATTCCTAACAGCCTCAAGGGCCTAAGGCTGTTAGGAATAGTGGGAATTAAAGTCCAAAGCACCTGGAGGGCCCAAGTTGGACCATGCTTGGTGTAGATGCACACTGTCCTGCTTAACCTCAGAATTTCACTTAGCGCCCCTGCTGGCGACAGGGGGTACTGCCTCGCCTCTTTATTTATTTATTTTTAATTAATTATGATGCTGATGATGATTACTCTTATTGTAGATAGTAGTGGGAGAATTTGGGACCTACCTACTTTGCAAAAACCCGCTCTTCCCATCTCTTCAACCTGCAGTCCCTAATGTTTAGTTGTCATTCCATGGTGCTGGTGAGGATTGGGCTCAATGTCTAAAAAGCCTTTCTCTGGAGGAGGAAACACACCAACCACGAAGCCTCGATCCACAGAGGTGATGCCTGTGGTGAGTGGGTGGCAAAAGTGGGAGGACAACCGAGGGGGATCGGGTAGCAGAGAATGCGACTCTTATGCAAGGTTTGTTTGAACCTCCTCTCCCATTGAAGGAGCAAAGCAAGGGTGAACCTGACAGCATGCCAAGGGTAGAAAAATAAGGAAATATATCTCTTTTCAGAGCCTTGTGCTTTCTTTTGAGCACCATGCTCCACATTTAATCTGGGAACGGAGGAGAATGCGACTCTTATTCGAAGTTTTGTTTGAACCTCCTCTCCCATTGAAGGAGCAAAGCAAGGGTGAACCTGACAGCATGCCGATTAATTTCCATTTAATTAATTCCCATTTAATCTGGGAATTAAATGTGGAGCATCGGGGTGCAGAGGAGAATGCGACTCTTATGCGAGGTTCGTTTCAGCCTCCTCTCCCACTGAAGGAGCAAAGCAAGGGTGAACCTGACAGCATGCCAAGGGTAGAAAAATAAGGAAATATATCTCTTTCAGAGCTTTGTGCTTTTTTTCTGAGCACCATGCTCCACATGTAATCTGGGAAATACTTGAAACTTTCTTGGCGTAATAGAGTTGAGAGGGGGTTAATTCACAGTTCTGGGCTTCATTTGCTCACAAAGCCACGAGTGGGCAAAAGGGAGGCCCGGCGTTCCCACCCCACCCCTGCTGTCGGAGGGACTTCAATGAACCTGAAGGAGGCCCATAAAAAACCCCCGGTGTTATTGCCGTGTCAATTTTGATGCTAATAATGTGCAGATTATGACGAAAATTGCCAATCATGTTCTCTGATGGACCTCCTTTGAATGTGGAGTGGGGAGAAGGGGGGAAGAAAAGTTCTCCGCGTGGAGACCTGCTGTCAGGCACTAACAACCCGCAAAGGGAAGTCATTAGAAGAGACAGATAAGAGACGCGGTACATAAAACATTTGTTCGCGGGGCAAATAATAATGTCTGTTATTTAATGTTATCTCTGATATCCTGGAAGAGAATTTTTTTATTATTATTATTATTATTATGGGGTATTTTTTAATATATATATTTTGCACACCATAGTTCCTATCCTGTCTCAATTGCCAATTCCTTTTTGGTAACTCGGAATATAGCCCTGGTTAGACTTTCCCCCCTCTCCTTCGGTTGATATCCTCCCAATGTGAAGAGCCTCATTAAATCAAACTTGGATATTTCCATAATGCTCCCAACAGGGCCACTTCACTCTCCACATAATGAGGTTTCTTTCCCTCCTTCCTGAAGAGTGGAAGCCCTCAAATAACCAGCGATTGCTTATTTAGGTGTGTGGGGTTCAGGCAGGCACACACAGCTCATTCCTTCGCACTCCTTTATGGATTTCAAATAATTTTGCCCTCTTTTGAAAGACACTGGACGTGAGTGTGAGTGAGTGGGTGCTTGAGTGGGGTCCCCCACCCCCACATTCTGATTTTTGAAGTTTCTACTGTTTTGTTCGGTGAATATAAAGGGTAGATTTCTCTTCCTTGATGTTTTTTGGCCAGAAGGAGAAGACAGGTTGAAGCAAAAACCCAGCATTGCAAAGGGGAGGGAAAACAAGATAGGATCCATGGGATGGTGTGAGTTTTCCGGGCTGGCTCTGATTGATTCATGTCTGGAATTCCTCTATTTTTCTTTATTTACCTATTATTTTATTTACTTTATTTATAAAGTAAATAAAATGTGAGTTTTCCCGGGCTGTATGGTCACATTCCAGAAGCATTCTGTCCTGACGTTTCGCCTGCATCTATGCCAAGTATCCTCAGAGGTTGAGGGGTTTGGTGGAAACTAGACAAGTGAGGTTTATATATCTGTGGAATGTCCGGGGTGGGAGAAAGAACTCTTGTCTGCTTGAGACAGGTGTGAATGTTGCAATTGGCCAATTTGATTAGCATTGAATAGTCTTGCAGCTTCAAAGCCTGGCTGCTTCCTGCCTGGGGAAATCCTTTGTGGGAATTCTTGGCTGGCCCTGTTTGATTCATGTCAGGAATTCCTGTTTTTCTATATTTATCTATTAATTTATTTACTTTATTTATTTTATTATTCCCATAATATTCCCTTTTCATAACTAAAACAAACAAATAAACTCTATCTCCAGGTTTACAATAAGCAAGTAAATAAAAAATATTAAAAACACAACTGACTTCTCCTCTCATCAACAAAGGCAGCTACCAAGCTATTGTTTGGGTTGTTGTGAGTTTTCTGGGTTGTACGGCCATGTTCCAGAAGCATTGTCTCCTGACGTTTCGCCTACATCTATGGCAGGCATCCTCAGTTTGCCTTTGTTGATGAGGGGAGAAGTCGGTTGTGTTTTTAATATATTTTTATTTACTTGGTTATTGTAAACCGGGAGATAGAGTTTATTTGTTAGTTTTAGTTGTGAGAAGGGAAAATTATGGGAATAATAAAATAAATAAAGTAAATAAATTAATAAAGAAAAACAGAGGATCCCAAATTCTACACCAACTAAGATCTCCCACAAAAGATTCCCCCAGGCAGGAAGCAGCCAGGCCTTGAAGCTGCAAGGCTTTGAAGCTGGCCAACTGCAAAATTCACACTTGTCTCAAGCAGACAAGAGTTCTTTCTCCCACCCTGGATATTCCACAGATGTAAAAACCTCACTTGACTAGTTTCCAATAGACCTCTCAACCTCTGAGCATGCTTGCCATAGATGCAGGCGAAATGTCAGGAGAGAATGCTTCTGGAACATGGCCATACAGCCCGGAAAACTCACAGCAAGCCATTGATTCCGACCATGAAAGCCTTTGACAAGACAGGACTTTTTGGAGAACACTAGGGCCAGATCTACACTGGCATATAATGCAGTTTGAGCTGCACTATATGCTCATTTTATACCCATACCATCCAGTTTGAACTAGATCTACACTGACCACATAATGCAGTTCAGATTGCACTAAAAGGCAGCCTAAGAAAAAAGAAAAACCATATGGGGCGGGAAGAAGGACTTAAAACTGGCAAGACTACTCATGTATTGAGAAACAGGGGAAGAGAAAAATCTATGTTTGTTCACAGTTTTATAATATTTAATTGTTTTATTAATATATAATTTAATGTTAAGGAAATAGACCAAAACAAAGCACTCTTTTACTAGATTTTACCTTCTTTTTTCTCCCCCCCCCCTTCTGCAATTCATCTTAATCCTTTGGTATGTTTGCCCTCATTGGATGTAGAGAGAACAATTTTGGCAATAATGTTTACATTTTTTCCAAAATATAAATAAATATAAATACAAATCTAATATAAATATAAATATTATATAAATATAAATATATAAATATAAATATATCTTAGAAGTGATCGAGAAGGTTGCTGGTTGGTACAAAAAACAAAACAAAAACAAAATGGACATAAAATCGTTTTATGTTGGGTCCGTTGGACCTGGTTATTGTTATACGACCATTGTAAATAAAGTCCTTGTGTTTCGGATATTTGCTGGCTGTATGAACTCACTGTAAAATATTTTACAAATGTGCAATAACGAGAAAGCTTTGTATATTACGTTATTTATTGTGTTTGGTCATGTAAAATAAATGTTATTTAAATCAAAAAGAGAGAGAAAAGTCCCAGGATTATTTATTTCAGGTTCTGTACAAAATTCTTTACCAACATTGCCTTATTCTTGTTCTGGTGTATGTGTGTGAGTGAGTGTGTACACACAAATGCACACACTTTAAAATGCCATTCAGGTTTATGAGAACTTCTTGAAATAACCTCTTTTCATACACGTATCAGGCTGATTAATTCAATCCTAATCGGTATTTTTTTTTTACTGCGATTGCAATGCATTACTCATGTTTATGGCAGACGTGTTATAAAGTCCAAACATTGGTTTAACTTTAATTGGCTGGCCCAACCGAGGAGTGTTTACAAATACAACTTGCAGATTCTAGAAGAGAAGCAGTCAACAGACATTAACGTGTTCCACTTCTAAGGCAGTTGTTCACTGGAAACCCTTTCTAGTATTCTAAGTATTTAATGTTCCAGTTGCTGTGAGTTTTCCGGTCTGTATGGCTATGTTTCAGAAGCATTCTATCCTGACGTTCCGTCCACATCTATGCAGGCATCCTCAGAGGTTGTGAGGACTGTTGGAAACTAGGCAAGTGGGGTTTATATATCTGTGGAATAATATTCTGGGTGGGAGAAAGATATGTGAGTTTTCTGGGCTGTATGGCCATGTTCCAGAAGCATTCTCTCCTGAGGTTTTGCCCAAATCTATGGCAGGCATCCTCAGAAGTTGTGAGGTCTGTTGGAAACCAGTCAAGTGAAGTTTATATATCTGTGGGATGTCTAGGGCGGGAGAAAGATATGTGAGTTTTCTGGGCTGTATGGCCATGTTCCAGAAGCATTCTCTCCCGACAATTTCACCCATCTCTACAGCAGACATCCTCAGATGTTGTGAGGTCTGTTGGAAACTAGTCAAGTGAGATTTGTATATCTGTGGAACAATAATGTCCAGGGTGGGAGAAAGAGGCAAGTGTGAGTGTTGCAATTGGCCACCTTGATTAGCACCGAATATGTTTCCAA